TTGAATATTGAAATTACTGCGTAGGGAATATAACGGATTTTTTATTTTAAAACAAATAAAGAAGCCTTGACTGTGCCCTGTTCTGTTATAAAGCACTTTGGAAGTGGCTTGAGCAATAAAGAATTGGAGAGAAACACTCGGCGCCTCCTGCGTACTTTACAAGAGAACAGAGCACAATAAAGGCTTCTCTATTTGTTTAATAATGGTCGAAAGTTTAAAGAACTAACCATGCTTAGAAGAAACGTCTGAGCATGATTAGTTTCTTTACAAAGTTTATTGTCGGCATATTTTCGCGGAGATTTTTAACCCGGTCAATTCATGCAAAACGTGTGTTGTGATGTCGTGAGTTTAGCCTTCGAGCATACGGCATACTGCGTAAATTATGAAAAACAAACCTAGAGAAAAACAAACTCGCTGACGTATAACTCTCGAGGTTATAAATTTTATGAACTCCCCGGTATGAAAAGCGATTAGGACTAACTCTTTCAGCAGTATTCAGGTCCTGGCTTTTTAACTCTAAAAATGTAACAAAAGTAGCGCGCATTAACAGTCACTAGAAGGCGAAACGCTGAACTTTACCCTCCAGCATGTACATTTCAAGATTATAAATGAGTATAACAGGAACAATAAATCCTAAAACGTCAACTATCGTCTTTGTTAGGAAAATCTTTTTGTTGAATTCACCTGTTTTTTATTTCCCACAAACTTAGTTAGAACTTTCTTTCTAAGGTGGATCAGCCAGGTTTTACCATAGATAACATGTTTAGGCCAAGTTTGATGCAATACTGTTTCCTTTTTTTTTAATTTTTACGTAGGTTTTGCGGAAGCAACATATTTCCACGAAACGTTATTTTTCCCGTTGTGACGAATTAGAAAGTTTCATTACAAGACTTGAAAAGTTTTACTGCTTCGTAAAGTTTTCATTCGAACAAGCCAAGCCATTTCAGTTGAGTTCGACGGAGCTCCTCGACTTCAAATACGAATGAAGGTCTGCTAGTTTCTAACTTATCCATTGCGCCCGATAAAAAAGTCGAACACGTTCTTGGGCTTCATTGAAGATACAATAAATATTTTTTTAAAATAAACTTTCACTTTTAGATACTTTAACAGGCCATGTTCCCTAAAATTTTAATTCGTTCGTGATCCTGTTACTTCAAAAAACTGGGTTACAAAATGACTTAATAATACATACATAGGTACATAAAATACATAGGTTGTCTCATCAAATAATTTCTTATATTTAATACAAGAAGAGAAGCTTGTACGGATATTTCAAGGTTCAGTGGTTGTCAATAAAAATAATTAAAAATTAATATGCTGGAAAAATTTGAAATTTTCTCAAACTATACCTTGTCCTTCTGGTATTAGGGAAGCCAAAACGACGAGAACGAAGCAGTAGAATACAAAGAGCATGTTCTCAGAAAACGCTCGTAAGTTATAATTCCAGAGAACAGCCACAGCGTGTTTTCAAACTTTAGGAAAACATCTTGCAAAATACGACAGCTGAAGAATCTGCGTTCAAATACTCCAATCCATGATTATTTATGAGATTCTCAGTGGTTGTCATAACTGAATAAGATCCTCTGGGATGTAGTTGGCTGGTGAAGCTCAATAACATATGCCTTATTGACCAAGCGTGAGGTCAACATGGCTTGATAATGCATTTTGCGTTTCTGTGGACCGAGGCAAAGTCGACGTCCATAAAAACGAAAAAAAAAAAAACACTGAAAAAAACAACGGGGCTAATATCCATTCATCTTAACCGAACAAGCTTTATTACATGGATTTACAACAAGGATTTGGTACATGGCAAAAATATTTCGCTTTAATAAGAATCAAGAGTGACTTATGACACTTCTGATGCATTGTGAATTTGCAGGCTACTATGGATCGTTAACCTCGCTTACGAGGTGAATTGCAACATGAAACATACCCCTAACTGGCTATTAGAAGATATTACCATTAGGTGCAGTTTTTACAAATTGCATTGCTGATATGGCAAAGATGGAAAAAATGTCAAAAGTGATTGTTTAATTGTCTGACAACAGAGTCACAATCAGCTTGGCTATCTACTTATCAGTTATCATTACTCAGCCAGTTTAGTTCATGGCCCTCTAGTTAATCCTCTCCAATACCACATCATAGGCAGTGGAGCAGGGGGGGGGAGGGGGGGGCAGGGGAGGTTACAGCTCCTCCGAGCGAAAATGAGAGGGAAGCTCAGCCCCTCGCCACTCCCCTCACAGAAGTTTATGTATGTTTCAAAGCGCTCTGATCTGCCACCTCCGCACGTGCAATTTAAGATGCCATCACCACCTTTTTAACAAATAGAGAAGCCTTGACTGTGCTCTGTTCTGTTGTAACTCACAGATTATAGAGACGCATATCGCAAGAAAAAACAGTTGCTTTGGTTTAGCGTCATTGATATCCAGTGGTTATTCACTTGTTAAAGAATTTCACGAAAATGTTCTCGAAGTTTAAGCAAGAAAAACCCTCGCATGTCCCCGAGCCAGAAATGCGGACTGGCATAATTCCCTTCAGCTTATTAAGGCATGCGACGCAGAAAAAAAGTCCACGAGAATGAGAAATAAGCCAGTTGAAGAAAGAAAAAGCGATGGCTTTGTTAGAAGAAGCATGCGAGGAGGCGAATGATACTCTCATAAGAAGGTTTGGAGGCAGTGGCCTCACTTACGTGTCTGTATATTTCCTGAACCAGCGACTAATCTCATGATTGATCTTCTTATTGGTCAAGACCAGATGATCTTCATTTTGCAAAGGTTGACTCGAGAGAAAAACTGGAGGAGAAGCAATCGCTAGACTAAGGCCATTGGGGTGGTCGAATATTGGCTGTCCAGAAGGAAAAGCATCGAGGAAGACGAACAGAACTAATCTCGCTAGTACCTTTTTTAAGCAGATCAAAGGCATTTAACGAACTGAACGATCCTATGAAGCGGTTTAGGAAGTTGACACCTTAGGCGTCGACGAAAATTATGCAATACCGATAAAAAGAGAGGAGGAGATAGTCCTTGATAAGGTTCTAGTCTCATTCGTTCACGATGGAGAGCGTTACCAAGTTGCCACACCTTATAATCATGACCGTCCGTCGTTACCGGACAACCAGAGATGGCCTTCAGCCGCCTTAGAAATACAGAGAAGCGTTTAAATCGACAATATTTGCTAGGAGAAGACTATCAGAACGTTATTGCATCTTACCCCGAAAAGGAGCCACAATGTCAGTGGTACCTCCCTCACCTCTCTGTATGCCGTCCTGAGAGGTCCATTACAAAGACGAGAACCGTATTTGATACCAGTGCAAAGTTTCAAGATACATCTTTAAACGATAAAATTCCACCGGACCCCAAGCTTGAAGCAGATCTGTTCGAAGGCCTCCTTTCAAGTAGCCATTGCATGTGACGTCAGTGAAATGTACTTACAAATAAACATCTCGCCTCTAGACCGTTCGATGTTTGGATTTCTTCGGAAGAATTTGGGAGTTAATCGAAATCCCGATGGAAATGACTTCGTGTTTGGAGATGCATCCGCTTCGCTTTGTGCCCAGTTTGTGTCTCAGGAAACACCAAGAAATAACAGAGAGAATTTACCTCATGCCTCCGAAACTGTCCAGAAGTCAACATACATATGCAGATACAATTCTTTGACAGTGCAATCCATTTGTTCAAAGAACTTCAAGATCTGCGGAATAAAGTAGGAGAGAAGGCTCGTATATAGTTAATTTACTCTCCGGAGGTGCTATCAGTCAGTCCGCAGAAACTCAGAGCACTCGAAATTAACCTTAGCCACGACACTTTGCCAGTGACAAAAACCTTCGGAATTCTGTGGAATGCTCTGAATAATGTTTTCTCTCCTCGAATCACAACTCCAAGTTGAAGGTCTATCGTGGGGATAGTAACCGAAATACTTGATCCATTAGGTCTCGCCAATCCGTTCATGGTCCAAGCAAAGATCCTTACTCAAGATTTGTGGGAAATGGGGGATGGGATGATACTGTTACTCAAGAGATCGCTGTGCAAGCCGAACGATGGTTTCTAGAGCTGGAGATCTTGAAATAAATCACATTTCTTAGAAGTCTAAGGGAGTCAAAAGTGGAGAGATCGAGCAGCGCCCTCACTTTCATGGAAGCATTAAGAGTGTTCATGGGATATTAAGCTATCTAAGATGTTCCTATGATAAAGAGTATTACAAGTCTTCATGATTGCATCCAAGACCAAGCTTGCTCCTTTCACGCTTATCACAACACTTCGATTGGAGTTACCAGCTTACATATGTTCCCGTGGAATGGACGTTAAATACATCGTGACGATTCAACTTCGGTGGCAAGTTCCGCAATTTCTTTCTCAAGCAGAAAACAAGTGGCCACAAGTGAAGATCGAGGAGGGTCTAGAGGTCAAAACCGAGAAGTCTTTCATCCACACAGTTTCGTTTCTGTTGGAGTCGTCGAAGATAACAGGTGGAAACTAAAACCTGAAAATCGGTCAAGTTGGTACAACTCACGCGAGTGACATTGTGTATGATAAGATTTGTCGTGAAGTGCCACACAAAAGAGAAAGGACGGTTAGACGGTCCTCTTTCTCCTAACGAAATCAAGCTGAGTTACAAATAATCAGAGAAACGCAGCGGGCTGATTTCGCCGAGGAGTTCCTAGCTATTAAAATAAATGAGCCTTACAGAAGAGGAGTAAATTGCCCGAGCTGACGCCGAAAGTCGATCTTGATGGTCTACTTCGCAGCGATGGTCTACTAAGGTTTACTTAAAGTCTACCTTACGATATGCGATTTCCGATAATTTTTCCGAGATGAAACTGGGCGACGAAGCTTATCGTAAAGCCCTATCGTGAGGATGAACACCACGTTACCGGAACGAACTACACGCTTGTTTACCACTCCGCCAAGCATAGGATAGTTGAAGCGAAAGACAAAATTCGGGAATGGGAAAATGCATGCAGTAAGTGTAATGAGATAGCATGATATTTTACAAACGGTTACCTATGCAGTTCGTTCCATTTCCTTGAAATCCATCTTTACACGTGCAGCTGTGAGATCCCAAGGTATTGTTACATTTAGCATTCACATCACAGGTGTGTGTTTCGTCAGTGCATTCGTCCAAATCTAGAACATTATAGAAGAAATGTCATGAAAATGAAACCTTTTTTTTATGTTTCTGTCTTGTGTTTTGTTAATGTTTGTTATTCTTGATTTATTTTTATCTTAGAGTCACCTCAGAAAAGTAAGGTGAGATAAGAAAGCATAATGTGTTACGAACAGTTACCTGTGCAGTAAGTTCCATTTCCATGAAATCCATCTTTACACGAACACTTGTAAGATCCCAAGGTATTGTTACAATCAGCATTTACATCACAGTTGTGTGTTCCGTCAGAGCATTCGTCCAAATCTAGAACATTAAAAAAGAAGTATCATTTAAATGAAACCTGTTTTTCTGTTTTTTCTTGTGTTTTGTTAATGTTTGTTTGTTTGTATTTCTTGATTTGCTTTTATTTTAAAGTCACCTCCAAAAAGTAAGGTGAGATAAGATAGCATGATCTGTTACAAACAGTTACCTGTGCAGTTAGTTCCATTTCCATGAAATCCATGTTTGCACGTGCACTTGTAAGATCCCAAGGTATTGTTACACTCAGCATCCTTATCACAACTGTGTGTTCCGTCAGTACATTCGTTCAAGTCTAGAACATTAAGAAAGAAGCATCATTTAAATGAACCTATTTTTTATGCTTTGTCTTGTGTTCTGTTCTGTTATGGTTTGTATTCAATTCATAAAACTGGGAAGGTGAAATAAAAAAGCATGATAGGTTAAAAACAGTTACCTGTGCAATTGTTTTCATTCTCTTGAAATCCATATTTACACGTGTGGTTGTAAGATCTCAGGGTATTGTTACACTCAGCATTTACATCAGAGCCATTTGTTTCTTTACAAGAATCATCTATGTCTTAGAAAACAAAGTGAGCATCACAATTATGTCAAGGTTGTTGTTTTAACGCTTATGTTAACGTTTCCTGTTGTCAGATAAGAATACTTACCAGTACAGTTTGTCTCAATTTCTTGATATCCCTCCTTACGCCTGCAGATATACGATCCGATGGTGTTATTGCATGTCGTATTGCCTTCGCAGCTGTGTTTCTTGTTGATACACTCATCTATATCTAAATGAAAATTAGACAAAATAATAATAATGATAATGACGACGATAAAAAAATAAAAGAGAAAGGCTGAAAGCAGAGATTGGAGAACTTAATGCTTTTCATCGTCTCGGTGATAAATTTATCGAATGATGGTATCATCTCTGACCTTGGCGTAGAATTTGTATCCAGTTTTACTGACATCCGCTTCAGCAGTTGTTCATTGTAAAAAATGGTAAAAGAAAAAACAAATTTATCATCTTACTGATTGGAAACAAATTGCAGAGGATTGCTCACCTTCACCACAATCATGGCCTTCAAATCCAGATCCAAGAACACATAAACACTGATAACCTCTGTCTGTAAACCCAGCTTGGCATGTTGCATTATTCTTGCAAGGATTTCTGGCACAAGCATTCTTACGAACAAAACGAATAGGAACACTTTAATTTTTGTGTTTACCTTCTGCGCATGCGTTCGTGTTTGCGAGTTCTGAATGTTATGCAGGTTTGTCAAATCTATAGGTCCTCTGTAATGGTCCTCGTGTGTGCTCTCATTTATATGCCCATATGTTCCACGCAAGCTGGCTTATTTTTCAAGAAAATGTCTGCGTTGAACATAGGTTCTCTTTACACACGTGGCACTGTTCAGAGCGAGAAAAAAAATGTGTCTAAATCCTCAAAATGTATAACAACAACTCCGGAGGTGGGGATATTAAATTAATAATAATAAAAAATAATATGCTTCTCCCAATTCTCTATTTCAAAGGTTAAACGTGTAAGTATCATAACCTTTCTTTTGGTTGTTGGAAGGAGAATTAAGAGGAGGGGGATAGGCTAGGGAATCCTTGGTCTTGTTAAGAAGCTTCGACGAGACAAAGAATTTCATTCTCTTGGCTAATAAGCGTCATCCTCACCTCAGCACCGCGGTAAATATAACTTTCGTTTTTCACCAGATCTTTATCGGGTTCAATAGTAGCGTTATTCAGATCACACTTGTGTGTTCCAGACAGCTGTATTATCGTATGGAAGTTATAACTGACGCAGTTAGGTTCCAGGTAGCATTGCGCCATGCAGAGATCCTCGTCGAATACTTCAATAGTTCGAACCGTGTGATTCTCCAACCTGTAGCCACGTTTAGGAAAACTGGTAAACTTCAAATTACGGCAGTTACCTGGTGAAATATTGCGTTAAGTTAGAAAGTGGCTATGTAGTATTAAGCACATCTTTTGAAACTCGAAATCGAGAGCAGTGTTAGTGCTCAATTATTGCTTTGTTTTCCTTTTGTGTTTTTGCCACGAGAATAACACCAGTCGAGTGATTCTAATTTATACTCTGAGTAATCACTTCTATTTTCATCTTCCTTCGCTGACACTCGTATAGTATATAAAGTTTAAATTCATGCAAATCATGAGCATGTCAGAGCAACAGCGATCATGCTGAGGTCCATCGCGACTAGCTTATCATAGCGATCTCCGGTCATCACAGTGCAGCAAACCTCAGAAATAACATCGGTCGCCCTTCGAGTGAACTGAACTAAGAGTTTGCTCTGATATCCTTCCCGATGCGTTGAGTGGGCCACATCACTCACAGCAGCCGAGTTTTTCGGTGCTGTCATCCCGAGCAATCTTTTTCCTGTGAATTCGGCTATCGTTCATTCAAAAAACACACGCCTTGCGCCGTTTGTTTTCTAATTGTCACGAGAAAAAACTGTGTTTTTATGAGCCACAATTCGGCCGGATTTCATTAAAATTTTCACGATAGCTGAACGCTAAGACACTTAAGGCAAAAGTGTTATATTCGGTTCACCGAACTATTTCAGTTTGTGAACTATTGCAGATTGTAGGCGTTGATAGTTTGTGAACTTAGATGGTTTAACATTTTTGACAGCTTCAGACGTGCTTAACCAATTAGTTCATTTGAATCACTCTAATGAGTATCCTGATTGCTTTATTGTAGCCTGCTTTAGGAGAGTATAGAGTATGCTGACGACACTGTTGTTCGCTCAGGAAGTAAAGTTTGTTTTGAAAATTGAAATTATACTGCGTAGGGAATATAACGGATTTTTTCCTTTAAAACAAATAAAGAAGCCTTGACTGTGCCCTGTTCTGTTAGGAAGCACTTTGGAAGTGGCTTGAGCACTCAAGAATTGGAGAGAAACACTCGGCGAGTACATCTCGTGTTTCACTACACTTCTTTCGTACTCTACCGCCTCCTGCGTGCTTTACAAGAGAACAGAGCACAATAAAGGCTTCTCTATTTGTTTAATAATGGTCGAAAGTTTAAAGAACGAACCATGCTGAGACGAAACGTCTGAGCATATTTAGTTTCTTTACAAAGTTTATTGTCGCGGAGATTTTTAACCTGGTCAATTCATGCAAAGCGTGTGTTGTTATGTCGTAAGTTCAGCCTTCGAGCATACTGCATACTGCGAAAATTATGAAAAACAAACCGAGAGAAAAACAAACTCGCTCACGTATAACTCTCGAGGTTTTTAAATTTTATGAACTCCTCGGTATGAAAAGCGATTAGGGCTAACTCTTTCAGCAGTATTCAGGTCCTGGCTTTTTAAATCTAAAAATGTAACAAAGTTAGCGCGCATTAACAGTCACTAGAAGGCGAAACGCTGAACTTTACCCTCCAGCATCTACATTTCAAGATTATAAATGAGTATAACAGGAACAATAAATCCTAAAACGTCACCTGTCGTCTTTGTTAAGAAAATCTTTTTGTCGAAATCACCTGTTTTTTATTTCCCACAAACTTAGTTAGAACTTTCTTTCTAATGTGGATCAGCCAGGTTTTACCATAGATGACATGTTTAGGCCAAGTTTGATGCAATACTGTTTCCTTTTTTTTAAATTTTTAAGTAGGTTTTGTGGAAGCAACATATTTCCACGAAACGTTATTTTTCCCGCTGTGACGAATTAGAAAGTTTCATTACAAGACTTGAAAAGTTTTACTGCTTTGTAAAGTTTTCATTCGAGCAAGCCAAGCCATTTCAGTTGAGTTCGACGGAGCTCCTCGACTTCAAATACGAATGAAGGTCTGCCAGTTTTTAACTTATCCATTGCACCCGATAAAAAAGTCGAACACGTTCTTGGGCTTCATTGAAGATACAATAAATATTTTTTTAAAGTAAACTTTCGCTTTTAGATACTTTAACAGGCTATATTTCCTAAAATTTTAATTCGTTCGTGATCCTGTTACTTCAAAAAACTGGGTTACAAAATGACTTAATAATACATACATAGGTACATAAAATACATAGGTTGTCTCATCAAATAATTTGTTATATTTAATACAAGAAGAGAAGCTTGAACGGACATTTCAAGGTTCAGTGGTTGTCATTAAAAAGAATTAAAAATTGATATGAAAAATTTGAAATTTTCTCAAACTATACCTTGTCCTTCTGGTATTAGGGAAGCCAAAACGACGAGAACGAAGCAGTAGAATACAAAGAGCATGTTCTCAGAAAACGCTCGTGAGTAATAATTCCAGAGAACGGCCACAGCGTGTTTTCAAACTTTAGGAAAACATCTTGCAAAATACGACAGCTGAAGAATCCGCGTTCAAATACTCCAATCCATGATTATTTATGAAGTTCTCAGTGGTTGTCATAACTGAATAAGCAGGGGTGGATCCAGGATTTTGAGTGAGTAGTTTCCACCCGAGGACCCACTCCTGCTAGGGGGGTTCGGGGGCATGCCCCCCCGAGAAAATTTGAAATTTGGAGCTCTCTAAAGGCCATTTCATGCATTTTTAGAAAATTTAATTGCCCCCAAAAGAGTAAAAAAGCATGTAATCAAAAAGGCAAAAAACATTTATTTTTCTTGAAAGTACTACAGGAAACACTCTGATCTACAAATATTCCACCTTTAGCTACTGTGCAAACCAGTGTATATAGTGTTTTCAGGAAGGCCAAGTCATCACCAAGACTTTTCACACTGGAAAACATCACCTCCCAGTCAGGAAAATCAAGATGTGGAGAAAAAAAAACGAACCAAGTGTTAGTGTTTTTGATAACAAAAGAAAAACAAGCACAATTGATGATATAGTTTAAAGATTGATAATAAAAATCTACTTGCCTTTTTCATCCTTGGGACCACAGGCTTACCATCCATAAAGCCCTTCTCTCTCTCAAATTTCTTCTGTGTTGTGCTCCTATAATGAATGAAATGAATGAAAGCCAGGCTCAATAAATCCAAATGTTTAGCAACATTAAAAACAACATTTCCTGAGCTGGCTTTTATTCATTTCATTTATAGGAGCACAACACAGAAAAGAATTTGAGAGAGAGAGAAGGGCTTTATGGATGGTTAGCCTGTGTTGGGAGCTGGAATTCAAAAAATAAAACAATTATTAGAAAAATATAAATTATAAGAATCATAAAATGATTTACAAATTGAAGTAAAATGATAATTTGAAATAATACTAGCCTTTCTTCATCCTTGGGAATTGCTGTGAAGCTGGTTGAGTTCAGTGAAAATGTTTGTTAACCATTTAAGCTTAACATGAAAACCCAATGTCAATGTCAATGGAAAATCATCACAAGTAAAACAAAATAGAAAATAACCTTGAAATGAGTTGAAAAAAGTTATACAGGCACCAGTTTGAGCTTCTGTACTGTTCTCCATCAGTTTAAGGATTATGAGACTTAAAGGCCATAACCCAGACAGAACATAACTCACAAGTACTCTAGAAACAGCTGGTGCAAAAAATTATTACAAAATGTTTGCCATTCTCATTCTCCTAGGATGTAACTCAGCAAATAAATCTATTATACGTTCAAGGTCAAAATCCATGTCTCTGTGGGCATGCATCAGTGCCAATCCATTCAGTCTGTCCTGGGTCATTGTATTTCTCAAATAGTTCTTAAGATTCCGAAGGGATGATATGGATCTCTCACAAGACGCAGATGAAATTGGAATTGTGATCAGGACTTTCAGCATGGAATAGATGTTGACATATGCATCTTTGTCAATATCCTTCAGTGTAGCCTCCAAACTGTCAGGAATAATATCTCCTCTGTTATCCCTCCCCTTCCACAATCTCTCCCATAACAAAAGCTCTGCCTGTAATCCTGCATAATTTGGTATGTCCTGTCTGTAATGGTTACAAAATTCCAAAACATTGGCCTTCCAGGCAGGGTCAGTAGCTAGTAAAACAGAGGGAATAATCGAAATACCTTTATAGCAAACAAATACATCATCCTGGAATCTGGTGTTGAGCTGCTGGAGTACATGGTCAAGAAAAACTCTAGTGAGATTGATCTTGAAATATCCCTCAGGAGTTGCAGCAGGAGCATTATTTCTATGCATTTGTCTCTGGGCTATCCTTGGCATTTCTGGCTGGACTGCTACTTGTCTTGCAATGGTCACTGCTTCCTGGTAGAGATTATGATGTCTGTTATCAATGTCAGTGCTCATGTCCTCAAGGACTGATTTCAAAAGAGCAAGTTCATCTTTAGCTTTTAGAAGATCCATTGCTTTTTGTTGCAGCTTCACTGTGAGTGGTCTAGTTGAAAAGGGACTTTAGAATCTCGATTTCTCGCGATTTGCTGTTGAACTATGTTATTTAACTGCTGGTCAATTGGGACAGCTCCTCTTTGCATCATTCTCTTGAAATCATTCATAGCAGTCATAGAAAAATTGTGAATTTCACAATTTCCTAGCGAGTGTTTGGTTAAGCGAGAAGCGGCCGAAGTCCAATTTGTGAGAGGAGACTTCAATAATTTGTCTAACACAAGCTAAACAAAATGCTCCATCGAAATATTTGGAGTAAGCTAGCCATGGAAATCTTTTCAGCCAGCCCGAGACAAACTTACGAGATTTTCCATTTTCCATTGACACGGGGAAATCAAAAAGCTCACCTGGTTTCCACACGTTTTCGACGAACTCCAGCTTCTGATGCGGCGAGTAGTTGTGGATCTCGTCGAAAACTAGGCCAATTTCGAAGGGAGAACAATCCTCCCTCCGACAAACAGGATCTCCGCGAGTCATAACACTAGTATTTTTTAAACGTTTTAACAGTAAATTCCGTCGTTAGCCCCTGAGCAAGTTCAAAAGTACTTGTATTGTAGGAGCAACGAAAGAGACCCGCTGGGGGAGGAACTGCCCTTTTTATACTTTGTCAGTAGTTTCCAAGGTAGTTTCCAAACACAACTAGCCAATCAGAAGAGTGTTTTGAGTGA